GGGGGGGGCCGGGGAGGGGAGGGGCATATGCGTGGGGAGCCGTTGGACTGAGCCTCCTGCGCCCCTCACAGGGGGAGGTTGTGTCACGCGATGTTAAACATGCCAATGGCTGAAAGTGGTGGTGGTGTTTAGCCTCCGTGCTGTCAGTTTGGCCTCAGAAAGTGAATTCTTTAGGTAAAATTTCATGATACTGGGAAGGGTGAATAACACAACAGTTTTGGACTAGAAGCACTTGCATTTGTCAAAAACCTCTGGTAGGGTTACCTGTGAGAAAATGGTTACTTTTTAACCAACAAGGTGTAAATTTTGGCTGAATTGTTCCCACTCAGCACAGCTTTCCAAGAGGAGGTGTTTGCAATTGTACCTGTCCATTTTGGATAGGCCTGTTGCTCAATGGAAATGCCTCCTAGACCTAATGGGCATATGTCAAAAACAGCAAGTACCAGAAGAGTACGTGTAGCACTAGGTGTTTGCAAACAACACAAAAACTTTGTTAAATTGCGCTGTGGATAGCATGAATGAAAATTGTGAGGTGAGGTTTAGTGCTTCCTATTGGAAAACATGAGTTTTTCCTCAAATCATCATTTCAGATACTCGCTTATAATTATTTATGTATCCAGTTCTACATGGATGCATAAGAGGCAGATGTAGAAAGCTGTATATACATTTCTTGTTAGATACTGTTCTTTCCTCTTCCTTTACAGTGCAGTAGCTCCAGCCCAGGAGAGTTGGACTTTCTGTGGTATAATGTGACCAGTGTTTTCAGTCCTTGTAAAGAAAAGCTTGCTGACATAACTGGTTTCGGCTCCTGTTTGCTCTTTAACCAGCTTGTGTGAGCTATGGATGCTTCAGGACAGTAAAACAACAACTAAGGGGAGAATATTGTCAGTGAAGGATGCATATGACAGGGAGTAGGTATACATATTGTCATTTATGAATTTGCACAAAGGGCAATGTTTGGAGTATCAGTGAAGAACAGCCTGCTATGACTTCTTTGGCAGTTATAGCAAGTCTGGGGCCATTGTGGCAGAATGTGACCAGTATGCATTTATTTCTCTTTGCTTTTTCCCTGGCTGCTGTCAGAGGCCCTGTTCTGTGGTGATCTCTTCTGTGCAGAAGATAACTCGGCAGGCTTTCAAGGGGCGTCAAAGTCTGTCTTTCCTACTTGAAAGTCTAATTCTGAGGAAAGTAAGATAAGGGTTCACTTTGTGGAATTCATAAAGCATCTGGCTGTGTAGAAGCATTGTACTGGCAAAGCTACTTGTCTACTGAATTGAGTCTCTAATGTGCAACTGTTGGATGGTTTCCAATCTAATGAAGCTTCATAGCACCTTTCATCTGCAGAATGTCATAGGTACTTGTTTTATACATCCATGCTGTGTAAAACTGTCATCTCACAAGCATTGGTGACCAATGCTACAATCTGAACTCTGGTATGGTAGGCTAGATAAATATATAGCTTCACCATGTGACTTTTTGCAGGATCCTTTTTTTAGGTGTCCAAAGAATTGTGACTTCATTCGTTAGTTGCCATGGTCATGATACAATGAATGCAGCAATTTCTGATCTTTATGGCCTTTGCTTCTCTGAGGGCAATCTCTTCACTGTAAATGCTACACTGAGAAGGCATGCCAGGTAGATTCCCTTTGCAAGGGATGGTTTGTGTTCTCAGAAGAGTGGAGATGTTGCAGTCAGACATGGTCTTCTCACTCTAGAGAAGAGACACAATATGCCTCAATTGTCATTATTTTATTGCAAGTTCCACAATGTTTGATTAATTTAAAATCCCATTGCTGGGACTTGATTATTACTTGAGAATCTCTTGTTTTTAGAGGAAAGTCTAAGTTTCTACACTTTACCAATGTTGGGAAGTGTGACAACCTTAAGCTTAACAGCACTAGCACCAAAGGTAAACAAAATTATCCCAATGAAATCTGGGGGCAGTGGGAAAGGAAGAAATAGCAGGGGAGCACAGGACATCTGCAGACAACTTATGAGTGCTTGCAATTGACAGCACTATTAATGTGAAGTTGACAGTAAAAGATCAATAGTTTTGACGCAGAACACAGGTCTGCTTTCTGCATTTCACGTTCTTAGGTAAAGCTCGTTTCAGAGCAACACAGCTTCCTGTTCAGACGCCTAAGTGTTCATGCTGTAGCATACCTGGCTGAAATAAACAGGAACTGACTTTCAGGAGGAGAGAAGAATCAATATTATGCTAGCAGGAAGTGGAGGATGCTTTTGATTTTCTAGTTTCTTTCTTTCTGCCCTACAGTGATTATTGTCCTTGCAGTTTCTTTATAGTTTCACCGTTACTGTTATAGTAATATGTACACAATAACTTCCATGCAGTGTGTGCTATTTATATGACAAGAACTTATGGTCTGTTCCTGTTCGTTTTATCCCAGCATAGGGGAAATATATGCACAGCTTGTTGTGCATTTCAATTTTGCGTTTAAACAAGGCTGTTTAGGATGCTTGATGTGGCTTCAATCTGCACTCTTAACTTGAGATCCCATGGTATCTATTTGGCTGAAGTTAGCATTAAGTTTTCAACTTTAGGTGGGGATTCAGAAGCTTTTGAACTAAACTGTTGTGTATTTTTCAGCAAGGTTGACTTTGAAGAAGTGCAGTACTCCTAAATCATTACTTGAAGTAAAAAGCTTGTAATTAAGAAAGCCTTCTCGCGGCAATGGAATTTGATATGGTGTCTGGCAGTGGGAGCAGCGCTGTTCAGCGAGTGCAGGGTGACATTCAGCGGCTGGCTTCTGTCTGGCTGCAGGATGGACTCGGCTCGTTCGTAGCATCACAGGGACACCCCAGCTGGGAGGGCCATTGAAGGTCTCCTGCCCAAGGTAAGGTCACACTGAACCCACATCAGAGTGGTCACGGATTTGCCCGGTCTAGAAAACCTCCAGGGACCCTGGGTAACTTGTTCCTTAATTATTCTCATAGTGAAAATTACTTTCTTTATCTAGAACTTGTTTTTTTGAGTTGATGTCCATTGACCCTTTTCCTCCACAGAGCACCTCAATAAAGAGCCCAGATCCATCTTGTCAATAAACCCCTTGTAGTTACTGGGGGGAAGCTTTTGTGTCCCCCTGAAGCTGTTTCTTCTCCAGGCTGAACAAGTCCAGCTCCCACAGCTTCTCCTCTCAGAGCTGGTGGCCTCCTGCCATCTCAGCGTCTCTCTGCAGAACATGTTCAAATTACACAGCAGCAGGCCAGGTTTCTGAGTTTGACTTTTATGAAGGATTCACACATGCTTATCTAATTCTTATTTGTGATGGCACTAACATTTTACACTGGAGATTTTTTCCTGATTACATACGCTGCTGACAATAGACATGCCTCAGGGCTTATGAAAGATGACAAAGAGTTCACTTGGGGCTTTCCTGCAACGTGTTTCTTCCACAGAAAACGTGCTTTTGCCGCCACAACTTTGTCATGCCAGTGCACTCTGACAAGGGTCTCGCTGTGTGTTCCTGAAGTGCACTGGCCCTGTGGCACAGAGACAGGGCATGAGGTGCCTGTACCCACAGTGGGGTGCTGTTACCAGTGCGTCGGCTGACTCCATACAACAAAATCCAGTGACAGAAAACAGCAGGCAGATGGTAGGTGCCGAGTTCCTTTCCGCACACGGGCTGCAGCATGAGGGCTTTGGAGGAGGGGCAACAAGCTGCTGTGGTGCAGGACTAATGAACTAATTGCAGTCCTAACTGGGATCAAGGCGTGTGTGTGTGCATGCATGCATGCGTGCGTGTGTGTGTGTGTGTGTAGTGAACAAGAGCTGCTATAAAAATTACC